ATGCAAGGTATCCCATCTGGTGGCCACTTCTTTTTCTCCCAAGGTGGGCCTTGTTAAACTGATTTGAGATATGGGCCACACTTCTCGTCCCCATCTTATTGTGAATACCAAAGAGACTTGGAGGAACGTCTAAAGCCCTGACCATGCACTCTGTAGGTACATAGGCATAGCAGTCCAAGTGTGCCTGAATGGATATGGGGAAAAACTAGATCTATCTATGTTTAGAGTAGAGCCTTGGTACAGGCTTCTAGATTAGCAGAATTGATGGGTGGATATCTGTTCTGTTCCTCTCCTTCTGCACACATTTCCTAGATGTCAGATCCTCCATTTCCCCCTACACATTTTGGCCCCTTCTCCTCTGGGCATGCTTAATTATCTTCTTCCCTGATTCCCTAAGACCTTCTCTCCTGCACAAGCTTCTTCTGCTGGAGGAGACTGCTTCAGTCCTACTGGTAGCCCCACTCCTTGAGCAGGGCTCCTGTTTACTCTCCTCAGAACAGCGGTCCCTCCTTTGTAGAGGCACCTAGCTCTTAGGCCAGGTCTACACTTACAGCTGTGCAGTTGTGAGAGCGCTGTTGTAGCCGCGTTATGCCAACTGGAGAGAGCTCTCCTGTCGACATAATAAAACCAGCTCAGCAAGCGGCGGTAGCTATGTTGGCAGGAAAGCATCTCCCACCGACCTAGCACAGTGCACACTACCACTCATGCCAGCAAAACTTATGTCGTTCAGGGGGGTGGGTTTTTTCACACCCTTGAGCAACAAAAGTTTTGTCGACATAAGTTCTAGTTGAGACATAGCCTTAGTTGCAATTAAGGACCTGAACACCAAGGAAAAGAACCAGCACCATCTGACCAACTAGGGGCTGGTCTACACTGGGGTGGAGGGGTCGATCTAAGATACGCAACTTCAGCTCACGGCGGCAAGTCGACCGCCGCAGCACCTCCGTTGACTCCGCTTACTCCTCCTGCCGAGGTGGAGTACGGGCGTCAATTTGGTGATCAATTTATTGCGTCTAGATGAGACGCGATAAATCGATCCCTGATAGATCAATTACTACCCGCCAATCCGTCGGGTAGTGTAGACATGGCCTCAGTCTCTGCAAACTACCAGTTGTTCATACACCACAATTTTGGAACGCGGATTAATTTATTTTAACAGCCTTCTCCTCCCATAGTTAAACTGGGAAGCATTTAATTAAAACAGTGGTGGGGTTTAAGGTTACTAGAACTCAAACCTGCAATTTCTAACCGTCATCCCATAGCAGATGTGGAAATGCTCCCCCTTAGTACACTGCAATTCTAGAAGGAAGAAGGAAGTGTACAAATTAAAATTATATGGATTAGTAAAATCTAGCCTTCCATGATAAACAACCAAACAAGATTTTATTCATTAGCATTCTCTGTCGCTTGCTCATATTTAGTAATTCCAACCAAAAAATTTACATGGCATGAAAATTTGAGATCATGGGTGCACGTAGCTAGCATAGTTACGGAAGTACTATTAATAGCGATGCCGTTTGCACAGACAATATATCCACACTGTGGGCCTCCATTCTGATCTCAAAGATGCAGAAGAGGATTTTTGTGTGTGTACGCATGCACATGCACTGTTAGATGCAAAGCAAGCACGGAGACTAAAATCCAACTGTTAGAGGCCTTCAGAACATACAGAATACGCATGCACTGTATACAGTGAAGAGGAAACCATTCTCTGATTTTCTGTCATATTTAAAATAAAGAATTTGCAAAGTATTATAGAAGGAATCAACGTTCTCTGCTCATTGTTTAGAGCATTCAGAAGGACTACCATTTAACATGTATTGGGGTTAAGAATGTAAGAACTTCTCCCAGCGTCTGCAGTTCTGCACAACTATTCAATGACATAAACAATCACCTGCTTTGGGGGACTGGGATACCCAAGTGTAACTTCACAAATTTAAAACAAACAAAAACAATATTTTACAGCAACCGATCACTCCAAAATACATCTCATAAGGCATCAATTTTTAGTCTCCACAGTTAAACATTGCCTATGCCTATCTACCTAATACAGTTGGTTTAAGAGCTGATCAAACTTTGAGATGAACAATTCACCCCAGAAACAGGATATTTAATGTAGCAGGGAAAGTCTTGTATTTTTCTTATTTTTTTTAAGTTTAACTGAGCTCTAAATCAGCTTCACTTTAGATCTTTGCTATAGAGCAATTTGCTATATATTTTTATTAAACTCTTGTTTTTAAACTGTTTTTAATTTGAAGTGTAAATTAAGTTGACTTGAAACTGGAGTTGTTATAAAACCAAAATTTAGCAAACAATGCAGTTTATTAGGCCAAAGATATTAAACAAGACTCAACCATAATGGTTAACAATGGCTATTATATATGTGCAATGCAATGCAAAAATGGTTCAAATTCATCCCTGCTGTAACAGTATTGACTTCAACGATTTACACTAGATCTTAAATTGACCCAATTATGTTTACACATAGCAAGTCCAAATTTCAAATACTGTGCTCCTAGTAAGACATCCCAATCCTTTATTTGGAAACTCAAATCAACAATTACATCACAATCCTATAGCTAACCTACTGATATAACTTCAGTGCAATTTCTGTGTATGGTACAGCTATAGGATCAGGTTCTTAGGTGTATTTTAAAGGGCATTTATGCACCTAAGTGACGATGCAGCCATCCAAATGCAGGGTTGGAATATGCTGTCATAGTCCCCACTTTTGAAAACTGGGTCTATGCTGTCAAATTCCTAATGTCAAATATTTAGTGTAATTTTAAAGTTGTTAATGCTCACAAATATGGTCTTTGCTATAACTTAGTAAGTTTAAAAATTGTTTCCTCATTGCTGTCAATTGGGTTGTACAAACGTAACAGCCATATCACAAAAATGATCTTTACTCATGTGAGTAGCCCTATTGAAATCAAGTGAGTTAGGACGACTCATGTGAACAAGAGTTTGCAGAATCAGGCCCTCAGCAAAGACAGGTCTCTCAAGCATGAACATCACTGTTTTTGTCTCCTCTTCTTAAAAAGAACTGGCTTTTAACATTCAAACACTACAAAAAGATCAAGGACAACAACTAAGGAATTAAGGTGACTAACTTTAAACATTCTAGCACAGTTCTTGACATTCACAGAAGTGTCAAAAATAAGTCACAAATGAAATGAAGTTATACAAATATATTACTCTGCATGCAATGGGCCTTTAAAGACAGAAAGAAACAGAGAAGGTATATCAGAGCGTAATTAGGAAGGTATCATGACTTAAGGAGAGATTTTTATTAAAACACTGGACATAAGTTAAGGCCTAGACCCTGAAAGATGATCAGTGCAAGCAGATCCCTGAGCTAGTGTAGAGCCTCACTGAAATCAGTGGGGCATGCTGCAGGCAGATCCTGGTGTAGAATCCTATCTATTTCAATGCAGTGAAGTCAATGCAGTTCCAATGTCAGATTGCAAGGTGGTGGCCAAAGACAGCCCTTGCCCAAGTCTCAACAAATACAAGCTTTTGCCATATTCAGGAGTATTCAGATCTAGGAAGGGATATACTTGGATCCCATCTCTAAATTATATTTGCAATAAATATGGGGTAATGATTGGAAGGAATTTCAGAGGGATATACAAATAGTACGGGTAGAGGCCTTCCATTTTTCTGGGATCCAACACTCCAGAGTTGCCTAATCCCCACAGAAGTGAGCCATTTCCCCCAAAATTCCCAACTTCTAAAAGGAGATAACATGGCTGGTGATCTGCATCTCTCTAATGTCTGAGATATAAAGTTTAATGTTGATTGACTGTGATACATTTACCAAACTGGTCATAACACAATGGTAAACCGTAGGAAGAGTATTTTAAAAGAAATGCAAGTTTGCAAGAAATAAATAGCTACACCATGTCTTTTTTGATAATATCTGGGGGTCTCCCATAGCTGGAAACAGCTGGAAACCAAACTGCAGGCTGGATTCTCGCTCTTGCCCTTCTTTAAATTGTTGATTTAAGTGGACTTACTCCCAAGTGTGAAACTTGTCTAAGCAAGCGGAGAATCAAACCCCTTCCTGGTCTGGTTCAAGACTTGAAAAGTTTCAGATTTGCCGCTGACAGAAAGCTAATAACTGGACTTGGTCTGTTTACTTCAGAAGCTTACTGGGCTGTAGTTGTTCCCACTGAATGAGCTAAAGTTCATCTTCAGGCCAAGATTGTCAAAATTGGTAACTAGTGATTTTGTATCCTTTGCTGGTCACGTGCCCAACCTGAAACATCCTACGGAGGCCTGATTTTCAGTAAGCGCTGAGTACCTGTCCTCTGCAGGCCAGGTTCCTTTAAGGTATTTCAGAGGTGGAGCACCTCAACAGAAAAATAATAATAATCCAGATCACTGGTCATTTTTGAGACCCTTGCCCTTAAGTTGAACTTTAGTTCCTTCACTGTCTGTGTACAGGAAACAAGTACAGCACACTTGGCCTCCAAACACACCCAGCCTCGCTGCAGCCCGCCCAGATGACCTAGGAGCGCACCTGCCTGGCTCTGCAACCTCACCCACCCCTCCCAGCCGCCTCATAGGCAGGTGGCAACGCTACAGCCCCATCCCCCCGTTGGAGTGCGAGCCCCAAGAACCCCACATTGCCCCACCAGCCTCTGCCCGCTCCGTCCATATTCCTGGCGTCTGTGGAACTGCTTTCCACTGGACCCCAGCTAGGCGCTGCCAGGGGAACCACCGAGCGCGCGCACGCTCCTGAGCCCACTTCCCAGGGCCAGTTGATTCATCTCCTCGGGTCGGAGCAGCGGCTAGCGTCACTGACAGGTGGCTGGGGAGGAGGGCGCGGAGGGAAGGTGAGATGAGGACAGGTTACGGGGGACGCGGGGAGGAGTTCCCTGGGGCAGACTACAGCGCCCAGGGGGGGGAGAGGGCGGTAGGGGCCGGTTGCATGAGGAGGGGGATCTGGTAGGGGCACCCTCCAGCCCGTCCCCGGCTCTCTCAGGGCGCCTTACCTTGGCGAGGCAGAGCAGGAGCAGCAGGCGGAGGAAGAGCTGCCCTGGCTGCTTCATGGTCCTGAAGAGCTCTCCCCGCTGCGCGTACAGCCACTTAGCCCGACTCCGGCTTCCCCGGGGACATGGCAGGGCTGCGCCCCCCAGCACTCAGCTGCGCCCGGCGGGGTCCCTCCCCCACGTCTCTCTCTCTCTCTCTCTCTCTCTGCGCTCCGGAGGCGGCGGCGGCTGCTCTCTCGCTCTGCCTGCCCCGCGCCCCGCTGCAAATGCGGGAGTTCGGAGCGGGGGCAAGTCCTGGGCAGGGTGGAGCGAGATGCACAGGCAGGACTCCCGGCGAAGCTCGCCTCCTGCTCTGGGGAGAGGGAGAGGAGTCAGTCACCTCCCCTCTGAACACTCATCGCTTCCGCTGCTGCCAGGGGGAGGAATTTGCCTCCTGTTGTCAAGGTTTTAAAAGGCCATTTTGCTGCTGGGAAGTTGTTACTGCACTTCCCCCCTCTCCCTATCTGACATTCCCCCTTTCTGTCTCCCAGCTGGGCTGGACGAGGAAGTGGCTCACTCAAAACTTTTCTAGCCCTCCCACATTTTTTCTGCAATCGACTTGGAAATGGAGCCGGAGAGGGATGTTCTCCTTCCCCCCTCCCCCTTTCAGTCTCTGAAAAAGGACATTCTTCATGGGGGTTTCTCTGGTACTACAAACAGCGAGATTTCTGCTTCTCAGAGCACATGGGGCTTGCTACAATATTTCTAGAGCGGAAAATTATCCACAGAACTCAAAGAACAGATTAAAACGAGCACACATCGGGACGGATGGCATGTAAATATTCTTTGTGATACTCATGATTTCCCATAAGCAGTGATGTGAGCCCACATATCGGGTGAGATTGGGCTAGTCAGTTCTGAAGTATGCTAATTAACGAGGTTTTCTTTTCCTTCCCCCCCCATTAACGTTTGGATTTATACTTTATGATCATGTAGCATTGTTCAACTGGGGAAACACAAATGGGTGACAGAACAAAAACTGGTGCTCTGAAATGACTCAGTGAAACACACTTCACCCCGAGGAAGTTATCTGAAATAATTCCTTTCAATTGACGCTCGTATTTTTTAATGTTACCGCTTCTGTAAATGTCTGATATTGCAACTGAACATTTTTATAATCTAATTTACTTCTCAGGATTAATGTACTTTTTACATTTCATTCACCTTGGACAACGAAAATAGACAAGTTAGTTTCATTTTGGTTTATAGTCAGTTTGGGTCTTAATTCCACTTTCAAGCTCTAAACTCTGCTTCAGAGTTGTAATGCTTAAATTAGGAGCACTACAGGTGAATGACTGAATCCACTTAAAATCTATTTTAATTGACTTTTTTAATGATAAAAATTTCAAGACCTTGTTTTTACAAAATGTAAAATATTTCAAACACTGAAGCATGTGCACAACTTTACATAGTTTTACAATTCCATAGAAGTCAACGGGACTATGCACACACAAAGTTCTGTATATGTTGAAGTGTTTGCAGGATTAGGGCCTAAATAGATCTGTCATTCTCTTGTTAGTAAAAATGAGGGAGTTTCCCCTCAGATTTGAAATACCTAGATAACTTTAAGGTACTTTACATTTCTTAAAGTACTTTAGAAAAAACGCTTTTTAGTATATGTTCAAATATTTTGAGTGTTTTGAAATACAAACTATTGCTTAAATAGTAGAGACAAAAATATTATGAATACAAGTATATTATGAATATAAACAAGCATTTAATCAGGTTTTTAATTAATAACAACCAGGCTAGAGTTAGCAATCATTGTAGGGTAGATAAAGGGGCAGTAATTTTATTGAGTCACTTAGGGGTATCTTAAGGTATTTTATATTTGTTTGGTTTTAATTTATGTGGACACCACAGAAATATCCAAATAAGCAATAGTATATAAATCAAAATTAAATAGCATATTACCCTACATTTATATAGCAATTTTGAGAACAAAGGATCTCCACCCTGTATTAGTAGAGGCAGGGAGGGATAGTTCAGTGGTTTGTGCATTGGCCTGCTAAACCCAGGGTTGTGAGCTAAATCCTTGAGGGGACCACTTAGGGATCTGGAGCAAAAACAATACTTGGTCCTACTAGTGAAGGCAGTGGTCTGGACTTGATGACCTTTCAAGGCCTCTTCCACTTCTAGGAGATAGGCTATCTCCATTAATTTAATTTTAATACCAGGGGTTCTCAAACTGGGGGTCAGGACCCCTCAGGGGGTCATAAGGTGATTACATGGGGGGTTGTGAGCTGTCAACCTCCACCCCAAGGCCCGCTTGCCTCCAGCATTTATAATGGTGTTAAATATATAAAAAAGTGTTTTTAATTTATAAGGGGGGGTCACACTCAGAGGCTTGCTATGTGAAAGGGATCACCAGTAAAAAAGTTCGAGAGCTCCTGCTGTATACCATACACATGCAAATAGCCTCCTTGGCTTCAGTGAAGCAACTTGTGTGAGAAAAGATCTGCAGGCCAAGTCCAGATGCAAAACACTGTAGTCCTGATCCTTCAAAGAGCTTCCTCTGGGTAGTTCCCATTGCCTACATCGAGTCCCACTCAAGTCAATTGGGGACTGGGGGTCCACCCATGCAAATGTGATTGCAGAATTGGGACTTGTATAAAGGGATCATTTCACTTGACCCTGAAATGCACCCATTTTGTAAAATTGTTTAGCATCATATAACCTCAGTTTAAAAATCCAGTCTCTCAAACTCTGTCATATGAGAATAGTCCTGCTGGAAGCAATGGGATTTCTCACATGAGATTTTCCAGGATCAAGCCCTGAATCATAGAATATCAGGGTTGGAAGGGACCTCAAGAGGTCATCTAGCCCAACCCCGTGCTCAAAGCAGGACCAATTTCCAGCTAAATCATCCCAGCCAGGGCTTCGCCAACCTGGGCCTTAA